TGTTGCAATGCAGTCTCTATTGCAATAGTTAGCTAGGTAGCTAATCCCAGCATTTGGTTGGGTTTTTACTTTAAACGTTGGCAAATTTCATTATTGAGTGTAGCATACCATACATTTTAATTGGAATTGTTAGAGTTAACCAAACATTTTCCAATAAAATACTATATTGCGTATAAGTACTGTCAATACTTATACGCCACCAATGCCTATTATCTGTAAAGTTAAATATTTGGTTTGTTAAACTAAAATAATCAAATCCTGATCCAATTATTTTTTCCGAAAAAAAGATATTTCTAATGAAATATTTTACTGGGCTTTTTTCAATGAAATGTGCAATTCAGGTGCTATGTTGCCTTCTAAAGGATTAAACAGTGAATCCACGACCTCAACGCATGAATAATGAATAGCATTTCTAACTAAAAGCCAAACAATATCAAATAGTTATCTATCAGCCCACCATTCGTTCGTTATTTAGCAGCAGCTGTATTACAGAAGCTGATGGGGCGTTGTGAAAAAGGCCATGTGCAATGCTCAGGGGAGATTTTATGTGAAACTTTTTAATTGGTTTGAAACAGATTTGATAATAAGTATTAAACAAAAAACAAAATAGAATATCGTATTTATAATAGGTACGCATAAATAAAGGATTCATTACTTAAAGATCAAATATCTTTAAAGGCATAGTACTTGTATTTGTCACTTTTTATATAAATCGTCACTAACTCTTGTTTGACCGATTGCCAAATAAAAAAAAGCAGTCCTTATTTTGTTCTGGTCTTTTGTTTATATTTTCCCCATATACACAACTAAATTCTTTAAATAATTTATGGCTGCACTACTTAAATACAGTGAACAAAAAAAAAAAAACTTTAATGTATTGTTTTTGCTAACAAGAGTTACTAAAAAGTTCTCTGGAAGAGTACTACATAATTGAGGTAGACCATTTGATGTGGTCACTTGGAAAAAGGGGGAAAATTATCCGTTTCACAAAGTAAAGAAAACAAAAAGTTTGAAAAGAATTTCAGTTGCAGCTAAATTGTGGTGTGGATAATGTAGAGTGGTAAGATCAGAAGTAGCATTTTTATGGGATTTGAAACTTGCTGACAAAAATGAGAAGAGTAGGATGGAAATAATATGAGAGCTAAAAAATTGCGTAGGACAATTATAATCAGCATCAATTGAATTACAAAATATAGATTCACCTAGATGGAAATAGTAAAACTAATTAAGCAAGGACCTTTACTTACACAAAATTGAAGGGGATGTCGTTTCTAGGCACCGATAGATGGCAGGCCCATCACCTAAGACAGGCTACTGCCTCCAAAATATCTACTTGGCTACACAAGCAAAACTGTCGCCTCTATTTTTCAACGATTTTTTATTTTTACAGAATATTTTTGAGCCACTTTTGATTTTTTCAAGAACTATAGGAAGCATAGATTTTCGTATACCAGTAAAGAAGGAAACATTTTGGGGGTTTTATCTGAAAATCACAGTGAAAGATTTTCAGATGAATATATGAGGATAACACGAAATAGGAATATCAGAATATAGCTCCACCTAGAGGAAAATGGAAAGACTAAATAAGCAAGGACCCTAACCACTGAACAAAATTCAAATAAGCAACAATAAGTGGCAGTCATATCACCATCGACCTGCTTCTGTTTTTAAATTTTCGCATCTATTTTTCAAAGATTTTTTGTTCTGGTATATTCTTTTCTATAAGATTGTTAAAGATTATGTTTCAAGGACTTTAGAAGCATATATTTCGTGGATTTTTAAAGATTATTTTTCAAGGAAGCGTAGATTTTCGTATACCAGTGGAGGAGGAAAATTTTTTTAATGTGATTTTCGGATTGAAACAACCCTGGGCATCAACATATGAGGAAAAGATAAACTATAAATGACAATTGGTAGATCCACATAGAGGAAAATGGTAACTCTAAATTAGCGAGGATCCCAACTACTGCAAAAATTCAAGATGTTATGTTTCCAGGCAACGATAGATGGCAGTCCCATCAAATAGGACAGACTACTGTCGCCCAAATATCAACTTAACTACACAAGCAAAATATTTTTCAAAGATTATTATTTTGAGAATATTTTTTGACAGACTGTATGTAGAGTGGATTTTTAATGATTTATTTTCAAGAATTATAGGAAGTGTAAATTTTCGTATACAAGTTTTGGAATAAAAATTCTATCAATGAGATTTTCGGATGAAACTCCTGAAATTTTAGTAACAAACTTCGGTATCAACATATGAGGTTAACGAGAAATAGGAGTGACAAAATATAGATCCACCTAGAGGATAATGGCAAGACTATATTAGCAAGGACCCCAACCACTGAACAAAATTAAAGTGGTGTCGTTTCTAGGCAACAACAGATGGCAGTCTAATCACATACGACAGGCTGCTGTTTTTAAACTTTCGCAACTATTTTTCAAAGATTTTTTGTTCAAGTATCTTTTTCGAAAATATTTTTGCGGCTATAAGAAATATGGATTTTTAAAGATTATTTTTTCAAGGACTTTGGAAGCGTCGATTGAGGAGGGAAAATTCTTTCAATGAGATATTCAGATGAAACTTCTGAAAATGTAATTTCAGTATCAACAAAATAGGGATGACAGAATATAGTTCCACCTAGAGGAAAAATGTCAAGAGTAAATATGCAAGGACCCCAACCACTGAACAAAATTCAAGGAGGCGCCGTTTTTAGGCAACAATAGGTGGCAGGCCCATCACCTAGGACAAGCTACTGTCGCCCTAATATCTATTTCTCTGCAAGGCAAAATTGTCGGATTGATTTTTTAAAGATTTTTTTTGGAAATTTTTGGGAATATTTTAGGCGGCTATAAGAAACGACGATTTTTAAAGATTTTTTTCACGAACCATAGGAAGCGTATATTTTCGTATACCAGTAGAGGAGTAAGAATTCTTTTAATGCAATTCTCAGATGAAATTCCTGTAATTGTAATAACAACATATGAGGATAACACGAAATAGTAGTGACAAAAGATAGTTCCACCTAGAGGAAATGTGGTAAGACTAAATAAGCAAGGACCCCAACCTTTGGGAGGTTTTGTTTCTAGGCAACGATAGGTGACATTTTTTTTTTCTATGAATTATTAGATTTTTTTAAATATTGTTTTTCAAGGTTATGGGAAGCATAGATTTTTAAACGATTTTTTTCAAGAATATATGAAACGTAGATTTTCGTATGTGATTTTCCGATCAAATTGTAGTAACAAACCTCGCCATCAACATATGAAGATTAGCGACGACCCCAACCACTGGGACGGTTTTGTTTGTAGGCAAAAATAGATGGCAGCTCCATCACCTAAGATAGGCTACCGCCGACCAAATATCTACTTTGCTACAGCACCAAAAATCGCATCTATTTTAGACCGATTTATTGTTCAGGGATTTTTTGAGAATATTTTTTGGACGGCTATAAGAAGCGTGAATTTTTTAGAGAATAGTTTTTCAAGGACTGTAGGAAGCGTAGATTTTTTAAAGAAAGTTTTTCCAAGGACTATAATAAGCGTAGATTTTTTAAAGAAAGTTTTTCCAAGGACTATAATAAGCGTAGATTGTTTAAAGAATGTTTTTTCAATACCAAAATGACCTAGCGGTAAGGGCTCTATATTACGTATCAAATTATATATTGGCTTGAACAGGTGTCAAAATATCAACAACAAAAAAAAAAATAGGGTTCTGTATGGGAGCGGTACTAAATGGTAATCCAAAATTTAAATTGGGAATTTATCTCCGATGGTAACTCAAAATGCATAAAATACTGAAACTTGGGAGATTTACTTTTATGGCAACTTACATATAGGTGGGCCAATATTTATCAATTTTGTTAGGAAAAACGTGTCACAATTCCTCATATCGAAATACCGAATATCTATAAAATTTTGGGGCATATACCTAAAGCAGGATCTATACACATATTTTTACAAGAATGATGAGTCTTTAAAAATGATTTCTCTCATCATGAACTCAATTTTTGTGTATAGGGAAAAAATAAACTATGGAAGTAGCTGTCTCCCATGTCCGTTCCTTAAACCAAGCTATCAGCGAAAATTTGCTGTGTATTTTTGTAAAAGTTAAAATAAGTCATTAAATTTCTGCATACCTTAAATTCCTTAGCAAACATCTGCTTTGACACGACTGTCATAAAGGCTGGTAAGCCGAAAACGTGGAATAAATCACCTAGTCAACACTTTTTTTCTAAACTTTTCCGCCCGCAAAAAGTATTAAAACATTTTGCCATGTAATAATATGGCTTAGCACCGGAAAAAGTGTCTATTCTACAAAATAGGCGTAAGGCGATGATAAAGGAGTATATAATTGTGCGTGATTTACATATAAAATATGTACTATGTGGGCTTGCAACACCAGAAATTTGCATACAGTACGGGGAATTTAAAAGGGAACGAGCACCTACTTCTACCGCAGATCCTTTACTCTTCTTAAAGAATAAAAATAAATAAAAAACCGGTTTAATTTGAAAATGACATCTTGTTAACGCAACATATTGTGAGCCATACGGAAAATAAATAACACGTCCTGGCTCGTCCCACCACTCCCAAGGAGTTGTTGTGCATCGCCAAACAAAATCCACCACCTTTATCATGCCGCTTATTATTTAAATCATCAGCACAAAATTGGAAATATTTTTTTCCCCTTTTTTTCAAAGAAAATGTCACGTAAATTGTCATAACAAAAATGTTTATCTGACGTATTGGTGGTGCGTGGGTGGTTGGTTGACTGTTTTCGTTTTCGTGGAGTATAAAGGCATTGATTGTGTATGCCAAGGGGAAGAAAATATGATAAATAACTTTTGATAAAAAAATATGCCATAACATATGGTGCTTTGTTCGATTGTTAACCGATATTAAAGGGGAGGGTGGAAATGGTTCGAATATATGAAATTTTTAAGAGATAACATTTTAACAAAAATGAAAAAAAAAATTAAATGTATTTGACTTACCTGTAAATTTGGTGGACAATGATCCAGTAATTCTAGCATGTGTTTGATATTTTGTGCATCTTGTATGACAAAATTTAATTCCATATCAAATTCACCGCCAACGAGCTGCAATAAATAATGAAGAAAAAATGACATATTAATAATAAAAACTGGTTTAAGGGAGCAATAAATTTAAAATGTTTTATAATAGGGTGGGTGTTTAAGGCCCTAGACTTTTAAAAATATAGAGCAAACTCGATAACGTAATCACCTTTACTGAGACTATAAACATCGTTGATATCCCCAAAAATAATTTTGAATTTTTTCAAGGCCTATGTGAGGCGTGGATTTTTGAAAGAAATCTATCTAGGACTATAAAAGGCGTTGTGGATCTGGAAGGAGCATTTTGAAAAGCTTCTGGTATCAAATAGTGGAGTTGAAGAAGATACCCCAGAACCAATAAGATATGATGGTGTAGAGTGTATACCACCTAGCCAAGATGAGGTCATAAAAGCAATTAATCGGCTCAAGAACAACAAATCGGCTGGAGCCGATGAGTTATCAGCCGAACTATTCCAGACTGGTGGCCAGATGCTGGTCAGGAGCATGCACCAGCTGATTAGTACAATTTGGCTAGATGGATGCATGCCCAATGATTGGAACCTAAGCATCCTGTGTCCCGTGCACAAAAAAGGAGACAAGGCGATATGTGCCAACTATAGAGGAATATGTCTCATTCCCATCGCATATAAAGTGCTATCCAGCGTGCTGTGTGAACGGCTGAAGCCAATGGTCAATGACATTATTGGACCATACCAATGCGGCTTCAGACCTGGCAAATCTACCATTGACCAGATTTTCACTCTGCGCGAAATCCTGGAAAAGACCCACGAAAAACACATCGACACATACCACCTATTTGTCGACTATAAAGCCTCATTCGACAGCCCTATCCGTTCAGAGGTGTTTAAAGCCATGTCTACGTTCGGCATTCCTGCAAAATTAATACGGCTATGCAGGATAACTTTAAGTGGCACAAGATCAGCAGTTAAAGTAGGAAAGGACCTATCGGAGCCCTTCAATACCGAACGAGGATTCAGACAAGGTGACAGTTTGTCGTGTAATTTTTTTAACATCCTACTGGAAAAGGTCATCCGAGACGCAAAGGTGAACAGAAATGGTACTCTGTACACCAAACAACACATGTTACTCGCCTACGCCGATGACATCAATATAATGGGTCGAACATTGCGAGCGGTAACAGCCACCTTTGAACAAATTGAGAAGGAGTCTGCCAAAGTGGGTCTGGCAGTAAACGGGGAGAAGACCATGCTGATGATATCAACGCGCAGGACGTCCAGTAGACTCGGACCAACTGTGGAACTTGAGAACTACAGCTTCGAGGTAGTTAAAGACTTTATATACCTTGGTACCGCCATAAATAAAACGAATGACATCAGTTTTGAAATTCGGAGAAGGATTGTGATGGCCAACCGATGCTACTATGCCCTGAGCAAAGAACTGAAAAGCAAAGCCACCTCCAGCCAGACCAAACTCACACATTACAAGACGCTGATACTACCCATGCTATTATATGGATCAGAAGCATGTGTACTTGCACAAGCAGATGAGACAGCTCTTGGGGTGTTTGAAAGAAAAATTCTACGAAAGATCTACGGGCCGATCTGCGTCGACGGTAAATATCGGCGTCGAATGAACCACGAGCTATACAATTTATACGCGGACATTGACATAGTCAGTCGTATTGAGCTGCAGCGACTACGGTGACTTGGCCATGTTGTGCGGATGAATAAGAATGCCCCAGCTCAAATGGCATATAAAAGCGAGGCTACTGATAGTTCTCGTAGAAGGGGGAGGCCACGAATCAGATGGCAAGACTAAGTAGAAAACAACATCTTGGAACGTGGTCTTCCAAATTGGTGGATCTGCGCACAAGACCGACGCGCTTGGAAATCTTTTTTAAGCTCGGGTTATGGAACAACCGTTCTGTAATAAGCCAGCTAAGTAGAAGTAAGTATAAAAGGTGTAGATTTTTTAAAGACATCTTTTTCAAGGACTATAAAAGGCGTAGGTTTTTTAAAGAAATCTTTTCCAAGGACTATAAAAGGCGTGGATTTTTTAAAGAAACCTTTTCCAAGGACTATAAAAGGCGTAGATTTTTTAAAGAACCCTTTTCCAAGGACTATAAAAGGCGTAGATTGTTTAAAGCCACCTTTTCAAAGGCCCATATGAGGCGTGGATTATTTAAAGAATATTTTTCAAGGACTATAAGAGGCGTGGATTATTTAAAGAATATTTTTCAAGGACTATAAAAGGCGTAGATTTTTTAAAACCACTATTTCCAAGGACTATAAAAGTCGTAGATTTTTTAAAACCACTATTTCCAAGGACTATAAAAGGCGTAGATTTTTTAAAACCACTATTTCCAAGCCCTATATGAGCCATGGATTTTTAAAGAATATTTTTTCCACGGACCAACACAATTTATTTATATACTAACACATTAATGCTTTATCATACATATGTATACATATCTTTATAATGGCTTTTTACAAATCATTTTATGATATTTTCATATGTGGCCATACACAAAAATTTTACCCAAAGGACATCACATTTATTTATTTTTGTTTTTTTTTAATGTCATGACAATGCATACTCAGTAAAATGTTATTCGCAATTTTATGACATTATTACATACACATATACGACAATTTTTTTTAATATGAAATATTAAAATGAATTGCGACATTTTTCCCTTGGTTGGATTTTTATTGCAAACTCATTGTCGAACAATTTCCAATGCTGTATTTTTCACAAAATAAAATAAAGTGCAGAATAATATTTGACATGTAATCGATGTCACAGACAATGACATTGTCATTATATTCCATTAATAAAATGCATATGTGTGTTTGTGAGTGAGTGTCCTTTTAACATGTTATTTTAAAATATTAATAAATGCTGTTAATGATTTTAATAGGCATTTAATAAAAATAAGCATTTTTTAAAAAATAATATTTATTGAATAGACAGTTGAGATTTAAGTGAATTTTATAAATAGGAAATTAAAAGCATTTTAAGGGTTAAGACCAGAGAGAGTGAGGATTTTTTTAATTAAAATATTTTAAAGAATATTTTTTCAAGGATTATAACAGGCTTGGATTTTTAAAAGAATATTTTTTAAGGACTATAACAGGCTTGGATTTTTAACAGAATATTTTTTTAAGGACTATAACAGGCGTGGCTTTTTTAAAAGAGTGTTTTTTCAAGGATTTTTAAAGAATATTTTTTCAAGGACTATAAGAAGCGTGGATTTTTTATAGAATATTTTTTCAAGGACTATAAGAAGCGTGGATTTTTTAAAGAATATTTTTTCAAGGACTATAAGAAGCGTGGATTTTTTAAAGAATATTTTTTCAAGGACTATAAGAAGCGTGGATTTTTTAAAGAATATTTTTTAAAGGACTTTTATAGTCCTTTTTTTTAAAAGAATATTTTTTCAAGGACTATAAGAAGCGTGGATTTTTATTTCAAGGACTATAAGAAGCGTGGATTTTTTAAAGAATATTTTTTCAAGGAATATAAGAAGAGTGGATTTTTTAAAGAATATTTTTTCAAGGACTATATAAGGCGTGGATTTTTTAAAGAATATTTTTTCAAGGAATATAAGAAGCGTGGATTTTTTAAAGAATATTTTTTCAAGGACTATAATGGTCGTGGATTTTTTAAAGAATATTTTTTCAAGGAATATAAGAAGCGTGGATTTTTTAAAGAATATTTTTTCAAGGACTATAAGAAGCGTGGATTTTTTAAAGAATATTTTTTCAAGGAATATAAGAAGCGTGGATTTTTTAAAGAATATTTTTTCAAGGACAATATGTGTCGTGGATTTTTTAAAGAATATTTTTTCAAGGACTATAAGAAGCGTGGATTTTTTAAAGAATATTTTTTCAAGGAATATAAGAAGCGTGGATTTTTTAAAGAATATTTTTTCAAGGACTATAAGAAGCGTGGATTTTTTAAAGAATATTTTTTCAAGGAATATAAGAAGCGTGGATTTTTTAAAGAATATTTTTTCAAGGACAATATGTGTCGTGGATTTTTTAAAGAATATTTTTTCAAGGACAATATGAGTCGTGGATTTTTTAAAGAATATTTTTAAGGATTATCACAGCTAAAGTCTGGGATTTTTTAAAGAATATTTTTTTTCAAGGACAATATGAGTCGAGGATTTTTCAAAGGACTATAGGAAGCGGGGACTTTTTAAACAAAAAACATGGATTTTTAAAGAATATTTTAAGGAAGATTTTTTCAAGGACTATAAGAAGCCTGGATTTTTTAAAGAATTTTTAAAAAAAAGTTTAAAGAATATTTTTTAGGTCTTAAAAAGACATAGCTTTTTAAATAATTTCGTGTAATATCTATTGTCATCTTTTACTATAAATTAATTAAGCAATACAAGTTTGGCATTTCACCTACACACACTAATTAATTGACGCATGCTATGGCGCCACGTGGCACATTCCTGGAATCAGAAAATAATAAGGTCCCAGTGAAATGAAATAAACTTATATGAAACCAATTAAGAAAATACAGTATTTGATTAAGATTTAGTATTAATTGTGACCAGACATCACAAACATTTTTTGAGATTAAATGTAAATAGTTTTACCATTCGATTTATGGTTTCATAAAAATCTAAGCTTGTTAAATGTTCGGAAGCTTTTATGTATACACACACGAAAAATTCCAGTTTCACTTAATTTAGTTTTGAAATTAAAAAACACGCACATTTGTTGTTTTGATTTATCTAACAAGGATTAATCACGTGTTTACAACATGGTGTTCACGCACATTTATCTGAAGATACACACCCACACATGCGAATCTTTTGGACCAAAATAAATCATAATATTATTGTTCTGGCCAATAATAACAACAATTTGTTAACGAAAATCTCACGTACATGCTACGAAACACGTGAAATGTTATGTGGTATTATTCAGAAACATAAATTTTCTTTGTAGGCTTTACACGCACACAATTTTTATATAAACTTGCGAAAACGTTTTTCTCCACATAAAGCATAGCCTTTCAACGGCCCAA